ACGCCAAAGGCGGTGCGCTCCTGCAAGGCGTACTTCTCTTTCTACATCCGAAAGGCCGTGAGCTGACCGGGCTCGACATTCGGTCGCGCTGCCAGGGGGGGCGCAGGCGTGCTCTCTGATACTCTGTGTCGTTTCACTCGGTTGGCGCGTGTGCAACTGCGCGTGTGTACTAACCCGGTGAGAGATCGCGTGGTTGGCGCGAGCGAGTGCGACCCGGGACCGCTGTGCAGACAAAAAGGGAGAGTGTGCTCGCCCCACACGCGCCCGGCCGCTTTTTTCGCGATCGGCCGGCTTACCGCAGTCCGCACCCATGGGGGTACACACCTCTTTGTCCGGCGTGTCCCACTGTGCACTGAGCACTGTCCCCCGTCCCCGCGCCCGCGCCGGCGGCCGCCGCAGTATGCATGTAAAACATGTCAACTTCTTGCAATCGAATCCCCCCCCAACACATGCACACGTGCGTGGGACTCGTAAATATCCACGATTCCAACACACACGACAAGGGCAGAGTGGACGTGAGCCCGTTGGGGGTGGGCAACGGGCTCGTCTATTGCGTATTGGCTAGACGGAGCCTGCGCCGGAGGAGCGGCTCCTTCCGGCGCCGGCGTGTGTCGAGCCCGGCCATCGCGATACGAGGTACTCCACGGCCTTCCGTTATGCGAACGCATGCCTGCCCATCAATCAACTGATCAAATGTACAAGGAGCTGCAGAAGAAGTTCGCAACCTATCTCTGAGCTTCCCGTTGCTGGAATTTACATATCGGCTTCCACCGCGCGGTTCGTTTTCTGCGCTGGGGCCGCGGCGGAGTAGTCCATCTGGTCGGAGCCGCGGTCTGCGTCGTCGGGCTTGTACAGCTGCGGGTCGTACGAGCCGAGGGCGCCCTTTTTGAACAGCATGCCGCCGTGCTCAGGGAAGTAAATCCCGAAGAACAGGACCGAGGTGGCCATGATGACCGCTCCGAGCATGATGAATCCCGCGTCGACGTCGACGTCGGGGGCGATGATGCCACGCGTGCCAATCACGGCGCCCAGGTTGCCGCCCGCGCCGACCATGCCCGAGACGACGCCAAGGGCCGGGCGCGAGACGTACGGGACGATACCGAAGTGCAACCCCTCGGACATCTGGACAAAGATGGAGAAGAAGACCATGACGGTGAGGGCGGTGCCGAGCAGGCCGTCGGTGTTGGCAACGCACTCGTCGCCTTCCGGGCGGTACCCGTAGTCGCCGACCATGATGAAGGGCTCGACGGTCGGGAGCACCACCTT